GGAAGCATCGGAGAAGACATGAATCTCTCTTCTGGTGGCATTTTTTAAGGATGCTTGGGTGTAAGAGCTTGGTATCTGGAGTTTTTCTAATGCTTTTAGAGACTGTTTCCAGGATTCCCACCTTTGTTGTTTCTCCTTGGGTAAGGGGGTATTCCAGTCTGAACTTTCAGAAGTAAGTTGTCTCAGCAGTATCTTACCCTAAATGGTGAGAGGTGTAATGAAACCTAACGAATCATAAATGCTGTTTATTGTAGACAATACTCCTCGCTTTGTGAAGGGCTTGTCACAGGCTGATGCTTGAAATGTGAATATGTCTTGTTTAACATTCCAAAGCAATCCAAGACTGCGTTGTGTAACAGAAAGGTCAGAGCCTAGTTGGAATTTCTTCACACTGACAGCATGGTCATCAGAAGGAAAGGCTATCATGTCCTTGTCGCTGTTAGAGATGACTTTGTGAAGTCTGAGGTTTGCAATGGCAAGCATGTTCTGGGTTCTAGTAAGAAGGTCAATAGCTACTTCTTCATTGGGCAGAGTTTTGAGTCCGTCGTCTACATAGAAATTCCTTTCAACGAACTGTCTTGCATTAGATACAAATTCTTTCTCACCCTCTTGAGCTGTTTTCCTCAGTCCATAAATTGCTACTGCAGGAGAAGGACTGTTACTGAAAACATGTACCTTCATTCGGTGGTCTATGACTTTATCATTGACATCATTATTGCAGTACCATCAGAACCTGAGGAAGTTTCTGTAATCTTCACGGACGATTAAACAGTGGAACATCTGCTGAATGTCAGCCATAACAGCAATTGGCTCTTGTCTGAAGCAAAGTAAAACTCCTATGAGATTGTTGTTCAGATTAGGCCCAATGAGAAGATTGTCATTGAGGGAGATGCCTTCATGAGAGCACTAGAGTCAAAGATCACCCTAATTTGATCAGGCTTGCGAGGATGGTAGACACCAAAGCATGGTAAGTACCGACATTCTTCTTCTTCTGTAAGAGGAAGTGCAGGCTCAGCATGATCTCTCCCAAAACACCTTCTGCATAAAGTCCACAAAGTACCTTTTCATCTCAGGCTTCTGGTTCAAACTGCGATTTAAAGAAACTAACGGAGATTTTGCATGTACCCTGTTGTTTGGTAGTCTCTTTCTTGGGGTACGAAATGGTAGAGGTGCTACCCAACTGTTGGAATCATCTTGCTAGAACTCTTCACTCATGGTTTTCAAGAATTCTTTGTCTTCTATGGTAGCTGCCAACTCATTGTCTTTAGTGGTTACCTCGAACACTGTGTTGCCAATGTTGTCATCCCAGAGATTAAGAGCTTTCTTATTGTCTTGTATGATGTGCTGTTGTGCACCTTTTTCAAACAGTCTTTCTTTCTATAGTCATTCTATATTTGTGGTTGTTGTGCAGAACAAGTTATGCGTCCATTTGACAGGAAATGTGTTTTAAAGGAAGAGACTGAGTAGGATCACCTGTCCTTGTCTAGGCAGACATTGCCTATGATGACCCATCCTAGATCCAGACGCTGAGCATATGGTGAATTGTGTGGACCGTTGATTTGATGACGAACTTTGTGCACCGTTAGGATGTCTTGACCAAGTAACAGCAGGATATCGGCACTTTCATCGAGGGCTAGTATTTGGTTGGCTATGTGCTTTAAGTGAGAATGGTGAAAAGCAGCTTCAGGAGTAGGGATCTCCTCTTTGATGCTTGGAATCTGGTTGCACTCAGTGATAGTGGGCAAAGATATTTCCACATTGTCATTCAGAGGAGCAACTACAAGACCACTGGCTCTCCTACCTAAGACTTCTGTAGTGTCGGAACAAGTGCTTAGAGTATAAGGCAGAGCATCTCCAGTTATGTTCAACAGTTCAGAAAAATGTGTTCTTGCAAAAGATCTGTTACTCTGATCATCCAGAATAGTATATTATGGCCTTATGGCCTTTTCAGGTTGACCTTTGGGGTATACACGTACCAAGCATATCTTTGCACAGGATTTGTTGCAGAACCCTTCTCCAAAAACCTCTGTACATGTAGAGAACACTGGGGTGGTAGGTTCTGCTTGATCTGGGTGCTCCTCGTCTTGTTTTGTCTCAGGAAGATTGTTTGTCAGCATAGTAGAGTTGTGCGAATATTGATGAAGAACTTGCACATGGTCATCACTGTCACACTCTATACATTTGATGATTGCTTTAGAGTCCTTTGCAAAGTGTTCTGTGGAGGCACAGCATTTGTAGAAAATGCCAAAGTTCTTCAAAAGTTCCTTACGTTCTTGGAGGGTTTTCTTTCTGAAGCTGATACATTTCTTAAGTTGATGTGGTTTCCTATGTATTGGACATTGGCGATTTGGGTCCTCAATTTTCTTGTTTTGATCAGTCTTTTCAAGAACTGTAGCAGGTGAAGGTAGAACATTAGTCCTTTTCACTAACACTGGACCTCTATGGTCTCTGTGTGACATACGTGTGTTCGTAGGTCTTGGAGAGAGTGTACTGAGAAGGTTACTGTCCCCATATGAGAAAATTGGGTCATTCTTAGTGTCTGTAATTCTTTTGATGAACTCTCAGAAGTAGGAAAAAGGAGGACAGGCAACTCTATGTTCTTCCTTATACTTTGATCCAAGCGATGCCCATCTTTCTTGAATTCCATATGGTGGCTTGAGAACAATAGATTTGATGCCATGAGAGCTGTCAAGGTAACTGAGACCAGGTAAGTTGATGTCAGCCTTAGCAAGTTGAAGCTCTAATAGAACATCGCTGAGTTCTTGAAACTTTAGATTTTCGCTACAAGAAATCCTTGGGAAGCTTTGCAACCTTTTGTGTTTTGTCTACCAAAGATTTTTAAATTGTGTGGTATGATAAACACACATCTACAGTATTGCATAACCAGGCAGGTGAAAAAAAAAATATCTGGTTCAGCAATGCAGCTTCTTGTATCACTTCTTCAACCTGCTCATCAGACAATGAATTAGCATCATCATCTGTCACATTAGCAGGGAGGACAAGGATCTGTAAAGCTCAACCAGATTATAGTAAAACTGAAAGCCCGACTCTGAGGTGAGTAAAAGTTCGCACTTGCAGTGGGACTGTGCCCACAAGGCAAGGGTCAAATGCTTGTTTAGTTTAGGGGACGGTAAAAGGAGTTTTACTTACCTGATTCTCTGCTCCCCCAGCAAACGTCATTCCCCTATGCTTTGGCAGTAGACTGGACTGTCCCTCAGTGTCCTCATGTCCACTATAAGGGTATGGGCCTTGTATTGGCCTTGATAATGCCAGGGGCATCTGACCACCAGAGTGCAGGGGAGATGAGGCTGCAGGATGCAGTATTGCAGCGTGGAGGAGTCTGCAGGACCTGAGAATCAGGTAAGCAAAACTGCATTACTTATGCAGGCCATAGACGGGGAGAAAAACGGCAGATTTCTCTTTTAAAAAACGAAAAATCGGTCGTTCAAGCGGCCGACGTTACCATCAATGGTAGAAAAAAATCGGCCGATTTTCATCCCGTCTAGAACCGGCAAAAAGTGTCCCTGCAGAGAGCTCTGCTATTTCTTTGACAGTTCCTTGACATTTACAGCGGTTGCAACATTGTATCTATTTGTTTCCATTTAGGATACAGATGTTTTTTATTCGGAAACAAATAGATACAATGTTGCAACCGCTATAAATGTCAAAGAAATAGCGGAGCTCTCTGCAGGGACACTTTTTGCTGGACTGGAATTCTTATTTTTCATCCTACTTCTTCATCCTCATCCTCTTCTTCTTGTTCCTCATCCTCATCTTCTTCTTCATCCTCATCCTCTTCTTCATCTTCATCCTCATCCTCTTCTTCTTCATCATCCTCTTCTTCTTCTTCTTCATCCTCATCTTCTTCATCCTCTTCTTCTTCTTATTCATCCTCATCCTCTTCTTCTTCATCCTTATCCTTCTTCTTCTTCTTCATCCTCATCCTCTTCTTCTTCTTCATCCTCATCCTCTTCTTCTTCTTCATACTCACCCTCTTCTTCTTCTTCATCCTCATCCTCTTCTTCTTCTTCATACTCACCCTCTTCTTCTTCTTCATCCTCATCCTCTTCTTCATCCTTCCTCTTCTTCATCCTCTTCCTCTTCTTCTCTTCTTCTTCTTCTTCATCCTCATCCTCATCTTCTTCATCCTCATCCTCTTCTTCTTCTTCATCCTCATCTTCTTCTTCATCCTCTTTTTCTTCCTCTTCTTCTCCATCCTCTTCTTCTTCCTCTTCTTCTTTTTCTTCTTTTTGTCTTCCTCTTGCAGGTCACTGCTCATGCGCAGATTTTTTTTCGGTAAAAAATCGGCCGATTTGTCCATCATTGCCGCGAAAATCGGCCGATCGGCAAAATCGGCCGATTTTTTTTCCAACTTTACCGGAAAAAAAAATCTGCCAAAATACCGAAAAACGGCCGACCAAATAGCCCACTAACGATCCGAAAATCGGCCGATTTTATTTTCGGCCGAAAAATCGGCCGATTTTCGACCCATCTATGGCCTGCATTAGTCCCCTATACATAAACAAGCAGTCGACCCATGCAATGTGGGTGCAGCCCACATTTCTTAGAGTTCAGCTTTAAAATGTGGACTTCTGAGCCCCATTTAAAGTGGAACTTCAAGTAAAAAGCTAAAATATTTGCATGCTGTTTTGCATATCATAGGATATTTAATTATTTTCATACAGAATTTTGTGATTTACCCACATCTGCTGCACTGAATATCCATTCAGGTGAAAACAATTATCCCAATCAGTAATGTAACTTTCTGAATCACTTGTCCAGTGTGCCTATTGGACAATGACTTAGCATCATTGTCCAGTTAACAGAGAAGTGATTCAAGAGTCTGTAATATTCAGCCAGAAAGTAGTAAAATCTAAAGCATATGTGAAACCAAAAATTAAAACCCTATAGATTGCAGAGCTTGCCCACAGATGCACATTGTGTAAAAGATTTAATGTGATCAGATAGTGTTTAAAGTGTTACTAAACCCAAGACCCTGCATTCACTATATCTGGTCTCTCACAGTACACAGAACATGGAAATGCAATTATTTAACTAAATATTGTGACAATTGTGCGCATAGAGACATTGACACTGCCAGCCATTTTGTCTCACCAGATCCTCCCTCCTCCCATTTGAATGGAATGTGAGTCTGTAAGTGAACTGAGTTCAACAGTGCATATGCACAGTTGGATAAGCTCCATGGCTGTAAACCACTATTTAGCCTGGTTCCAGAAGGTCTGCTTGAGAAACCACTTTCCTCTGCCCGGTCGTAACACCATAACTCGGTCATGACCTGTTGGGCCATTAGAGCAGGTTTTACCATAAAACATACATTCCACATGAGTAATTTTTCATACAAATTCATAAGCTTCAGCAGGAACTGGGCACATTAATATGAAGTATATATTCGGCTAGGTCATTTTAATATGAGTCACATGACACCTTACATCCCTATGTAGTGCCTACAAGAGACTAGAAAGCAATATCTTTTATCTGGCAGGATATGCTAAAGTTTGGTATCTGTGCAAGCGGAATATAATTCTAAATATTAATCTGCCAGTTGCTAGGATGCTACCTGTACCTATTGAAGGTTATTGACCGTAGTATGAACTTGCAAGGGATTTGGTCCTAACCTTGGTCACCGCCTAACACCCATCCCTAAATGGGGTGATTGGCTATTTGTTCTCGGAGACACCCCTTTGAGACAATAGAACAAGACAGCCTGGAGAAAAGGTAGCTCTCCTTTTAACGTCAATCAGGAACCATCTTGAGAGCAAAGGCAACCTTTTGTTTGGACGATTTGACTCTGCTCAAACCAAGGACTTTCGCAAATTCTGCCTTCTGAAACTTCTTTCTTTTTTATATATATATATATATATATATATATTATATATATATATATACAGTTGCAAGAAAAAGTATGTGAACCCCTTGGGATTACGTGGAGTTTTGCATGAATTGGGCATACAATGTGCTCTGAATGTCATCTAAGTCACAACAATAGAAGAACACAGTCTGCTGAACATAATACTACACAAACATTAGATGTTGCCATGGTTTAATTGCACATAACATGTAAACATTCACAGTGCAGGGAGGAAAAAGTATGTGAGGCCTAGCTTAATGACTTCTCCCAGAGCTAATTGGAGCCAGGAGTGAGCCAACCTTGACTCCAATCAGTGTGATGATATTGGATGTGTTGCTGACAGCTGTCCTGCCCTTAAAAAACACACACCTGTTTTGGGTTTACTGGTTTCAAGAAGCACTGTCTGATGTGAACCATGCCTCGCAGAAAAGAGCTCTCAGAAGACCTACGATCAAGAATTGTTGACTTGCATGAAGCTGGAAAGGGTTACAAAAGTATCTCCAAAAGCCTTGATGTTCATGTGTCCACGGTAAGACAGACTGTCTACAAATGGAGAAAGTTTAGCACTGTTGCTACTCTCCCTAGGCGTGGTCGTCCTGTAAAAATGACTGCAAGAGCACAGCGCAGAATGCTGCATGAGGTAAAGAAGAATCCCAGAGTGTCAGCTAAAGACCTACAGAAATCTCTGGCACATGCTAACATTTTTGTTGACACATCTACAATAAGGAAAACATTAAACAAGAATGGAGTACATGGGAGGACACCACGGAGGAAGCCATTGCTGTCCAAAAAGAAGATTGCAGCACGTTTGAAGTTTGCAAAAGAGCACCTGGATGTTCCACAGCACTACTGGCAGAATATACTGTGGACAGATGAAACCAAGATTGAGTTGTTTGGGAAGAACACACAACAACACTATGTGTGGAGAAAAAAAAGGCACAGCACACCAACATCAAAACCTCATCCCCACTGTAAAACATGGCGGAGGGACCATCATGGTTTGGGGCTGCTTTGCTGCCTCAGGGCATGGACGGATTGTTGTCATTGATGGGAAAATGAATTCCAGAGTTTATCAAGACATTTTGCAGGAAAACGTACGACCGTCTGTCCGCCAACTGAAGCTCCGCAGAGGATGGGTGATGCAACAGGACAATGACCCAAAGCATACAAGTCATTCAACAAAACAATGGCTGCAACAGCACAGAATAAGCCTTCTGGAGTGGCCCAGTCAGAGTCCTGACCTCAACCCGATTGAAATGCTGTGGCATGACCTTAGAGAGAGCGATTCATACCAGACATCCCAAGAATATTGCTACACTGAAACAGTTTTGTGAAGAGGAGTGGTCCAAAATGACTCCAGATCGTTGTGCAGGTCTGATCTGCAACTACAGGAAACGTTTGGTTGAGGTTATTGCTGCCAAAGGAGGGTCAACCAGTTATTAAGTCCAAAGGTTCACATACTTTTTCCTCCCTGCACTGTGAATGTTTACATGTTATGTGCAATTAAACCATAGCAACATCTAATGTTTGTGTAGTATTATGTTCAGCAGACTGTGTTCTTCTATTGTTGTGACTTAGATGACGTTCAGAGCACATTTTATGCCCAATTCATGCAAAACTCCACGTAATCCCAAGGGGTTCACATACTTTTTCTTGCAACTGTATATATATATATATATATATATATAATATATATATATATTTTTGTTACATCTTTTTGTGTAAAATATTTTATTTGCACCATTTTGACCTTTTTAGTAATAAATTCTATTTTCTGAAAAGTGTTGAACTGTCTCTAAAGCTTTCTATGCAAACTAAAGAATCCCTGTCTCTGAAGAGTGCTACTGTATGTGATAATCCTCTGAATACATCTGTCTATTGTGACAGGGTGTATTACAGACGCTTATATTAATATCATAGTGTTACTGCTAAGATTTGTGAGTTTCCTCCTACTCTGTGAAAAGGTGGTGGTGGCAGTGTGAAGGGTTAATTAACCTGACCCAGTAACAATCGCTTTCAGGCTTCTTGCACATAGATTGTGGTCCAGCGAGCTGGAAAATCTTTGTGCAGGGCGCAGCTGAGTGTGGCATTGTTACGCAAGTGACAGCGCGGGTCTGAGATCGGCTGGTCCTTCGGTCACAAGTTGGTGAGAAGGGCTGGGGTCTGACGCCGCTCAACCGTCACAAATATAAACTACTAAAAACCTTTTCTCATCAGCAGTTAGAGCAGTCTTGTGACTTCTATCAGTGTCCAGCAGAGCACTGGTTAAAGCTTGCAGGAGTTTTCATTCACGCCTGATTGTCCTATAAAGGCTGCAGGACCACTCACCCTTTGTCTAGAAAGTGCTGATTGGCCTTGTGCTGATCACATGCACTCTCCCAAGAAAACGAAAACCTCTCTAGCAATACACACCAAACTGAGCATGTGCAGAGTGATTCCACACAGTATGCCTTATCAGGAGATAAGAGGGGGCACAGGAAGAAGGGGAGGAACAGAGAAGTCAGGATCAAATAGCCTTTTTACACAATGCAGAGGATTAACCCCCTTTAGGTTCCACAGTGAGTATAACAAGCATGTTTTACTGAATATACAGACTGATTTTACTGTTGTGGGTTTAATAACACTTTACCTTTTTTTCAGCCCGACATCTGAATTCTGCAGCCAGACAAGAAGATAATGTGCTGATGTTACATACATTGTCTCATCTTACCATCTTCAGTGCTCATTGGAAATATAGTTTACTTCAATGAGGTCATATACTAAGGATTAATAGCCTTAGTATACAGCCCCATTATAGCCAAAAGGAGCCTAGTGTGTAGATACGGTATGTTTAGCTCTTAGGAAATGCCCTTTTGATGTGGCTCCTTTAGCAGTTAGCAAACCATCCATAAGTGATTTTTTGAGCAAGACCATCCTGTTTTTCAGATTTGGTCTTCCTCATATAGTCAAAAGATCAGTTCCAGTATTGTGATAAAACTGCTGGAAATGGAAGTGAGGAAACCACACAAACAGGAAAAGACAATTACCAAACAAAATTACATTTTTGTCAGTTTTTGAAAATCAAAGCTAGCTGCAGGCCTAAACAGAAATGTTTTCATTTTTTTTTGGAAAAAAGGCATACTTACCAATTAGGGTTACTATTGAGGAGCCTCCTTGTCAAACATCCTTTTCCACTCGAATGCACTGCTGTTCAAACACATGAGTTTAAAGGCAACATGCAGCAATTGATCTGCTTTGCCTGCAGTTTAACCACATGAGCTCCTGAGGATTTACCCCTCTTAATGACCTCTTAATGACCAGGCCTCATGCAATGCTGCACCTAAACGAAATTTACGTCCTTTTTTCACACAAATAGAGCTTTCTTTTGGTGGTATTTGATCACCTGTGCGCTTTTTATTTTTCACGCTATAAACAAAAAAAGACCAAATATTTTTGAAGAAAAACGATATTTTTTACTTTCAGCTATAAAAAAAATATATAGGAAACTCAAAGTTAGTTAAAAATTTAGGCCAAAATGTATTCTGCTACATGTGTTTGGTAAAAAAAAAATCCCACTAAGTGTATATTGATTGCTTTGTGTGAAAGTTATAGCGTCTACAAACTATGGAATATAGATACTGCAATTTACAACTTTTTTTGCTATACAGCACTGCGCTAGTTTAACGGACACTTGCGCGGTCATGCAATACGGTACATAAATGAAATGTATGTCCTTTTTTAACACAAATAGAGCATTCTTTTGGTGGTATTTGATCACCTCTGCACTTTTTATTTTTGGCGCTATAACCAGAAAAAGTTTTGAAGAAAAAAAATTTTTGGGAAAAAAACATATTTTCTCATTTTGGTCATAAAAAATATCTAAAAAAACTAAAATTTCATCATAAATTTAGGCCAAAATGTATTCTGCTACATGTTTTTGGTTAAAAAAAATCCCAATAAGTGTATATTGATTGCTTTTTGTGAAAGTTATAGCGTCTACAAACTATTTTTTTTCTACAAGTTTGACAAAAACTTTTTTTTTACCACAAAGTTGTCATTTAAATGATTTATTTTTCGCACAAGCCATGGGTATATGTGGAATTACACCCCAAAATACATTCTGCTACTTCTACTGATTATGGGGATACCACATGTGTGAGACTTTTTGGGAGCCTAGCCACATACAGGAGCCTGAAATCCAATAACCACTTTGAAAGTCTGAAGGTGCGTAACTTCCTCATTACACTTCCTCACTTCCTCACTACCTATTATAGTTTCGAAGGCCCTGACATGCCAGGATAGCCCCAAACCCCCCCAAATGACCCCTTTCTGGAAAGTAGACAACCCAAGGAATTTAAAAAGAGGCATGGTGAGTATTTTGCAGATCTCATTTTTTCTCACAAGGTTTTGAAATATAAAAAAAATAGAAAAAATATGTTTTTTTTTCTTCATTTTCCAAAAACTTGTGGCAACAAATGAGATCTGCAAAATACTTACCGTGCTTTTTATCAAATTCCTTGGGGTGTCTATTTTCCAAAAAGGGCTCATTTGGGGGGGGTTAGGTACTATCCTGGCATTTCAGGGCCTCCGAAACTGTGATAGGTAGTCTGGAAGTGTAATGAGGAAATAAAGCCCTTTAAAAGCCTGAAGGTGCTTATTGGATTTTGGGGTCCTGTACTTGGCTAGACTGCCAAAAAGTCTCTCACATGTGGTACCCCCATACTCGGGAGAAGTAGCAAAATGTATTTTGGGGGGTAATTCCACATATAACCATGGCATGTGTGAGCAGTAAATCATTTAAGTGACAATTTTGTGTAAAAAAAAAAATCTATATTTAATTTGGTCATTTTCCAAAAACTTGTAAAAAAATAAATTCTTCTATTGATTCAACATTCCTATTAGCAAATAGTTTGAGGTGACTACTTTCCAAAAGGGGTAATTTTGGGGGGTGGGGGCATTTTATGCCCGGCATTAGAAGTTTATGCCACACATCATTCACTCTTCTAACCACCTGAAGACCAAGCCTTTTTGTTCACATGAAAAAAAATCAGTATTTTTTGCTAGGAAATTAATTTAAACCCCCAAACATTATATATTTTTTTAAAGCAGGCACCCTAGTGAATAAAATGGTGGGTACTAAAATTTTTTATGGCACATAGTACTCGCGCAGCGATTTTACAAAAAAAAACCAAAAAAAAAACTTTTTTTACTTTTAATGCACAAAAACACAATATATTGGCCAATTGTTTGGTAAAATATAAAAGATAATGGTATGCTGAGTAAATAGATACCAAACATGACATGCTTTAAAATTGTGCATGCCCTGTGCAATTTTTGACAAACTGCAAACATTTTTAATATATCCATAGGCAGCGCTTTTAAAAGCCTTTAAAAGCCATCATTTTAGATTTACAGAGGAGGTCTAGTGTTAGAATTACTGCCCTTGATCTGACGTTCACGGCAATACCTCACATGCATGGTTCAACCGCTGTTTACATAACGGCACAGGGTCAAGGCTTGTGCACACAGGTGTGTGCGCATAGGAGGGGCAATTTTTTTTTTTTTTATTATTTTGACATTGTACGTTTCATTTTTTTTTTCTATCACTTTTAATGCTATAACAAGGAATGCAAATAACCCCTATAACTTCAATGGGCATTGTCATATTATTTTTTGAGAAATCTGGGGTCTATCAAACTCTAGATATCTCCTCTGCCCTTACATTATCTAATCAAACCAAAATTGGTGTGATCAGATGCTTTCCCAATTTACAAATGGCGCTGTTTATATCCTGCGAAACTGAAGTGATGAAATGCTTGTAGCTTCCGAATTCTTAGACTATAGAGATGATTGGCACCATTCTGGTCTCCAATCAGCTCTATGGTCAGCTGGCAGAAACACCGGCTGCATTCTCAGGTTCCCCTGATGGCACGGGACTGCCCGAGAAGGCCGTGGAAGGCAGCAGGGGAGGGAGGACATCATCTCCCACTGCTTGTAAAAGCAATCTTGCAGCTAATTAGCCACTAGGATTGCTTTTACATGAAAGCCGATCACCGGCTGAAAAAAACGATATCAGGATGATGCCTGCAGCTGTAGGCATCATCCTGGTATAACCATTCAAATCCAGTGATGTACCAGTACATCGCTGGTCCTTGTTGGTTATATATGCTATGTTCTTTTTTTTTTTTGTATGCAGCCAGTGGACTGAATGAAAAATGAGAAGAAATCTCTGCCAGAAAAAGTGTGTGGTATGCCCACCATTAGAATATACCACCTGCATCCACCCACTTCTAATGGTGGGCACACACTAGGTCACACTTTGCCACAAGTGCCAGTTCCAAGATTGAATAAATGTCTAAATAGAGGCACGCTTGAATAAAAATTGTCCACGTATAAGTGGTACCCCCATATGGAGAAATGATGACACCAAGTCCCAAACTATCTTGCCACTGCTCCCCATGTAGTCTGGGCATCCGGGGGGCTCCACGTGACTATCTTTTCCCTCGTAAATCCGAAACTTATAAGTATAGCCTGTTGTCCTCTCACAGGTCTTCTACATCTTGACCCCATATCTGGCACGCTTGCAGGGGAGAAATTGTTTGAATGCAAGGCGGCCAGAAAAATTAATGATGGACTCCTCAACGCAGATGTTTTGCTGGGGAGTATAGACATCTGCAAATTTTAGGTTAAGGTGATTTGCGAGAGGCTGAATTTTGTGGGAGCCGGTCAAATTCAGGGTTACCCCGAGGATGACAGAGTGTATTGTCGCTGAAATGCATAAAACACATTATACTCTCATATCTATGCCTGGCCATGGCAGCCGAGAACACGGCATATGATGAATCGGGTCTGCGGACCAATACAACCGCAATTCATTTCTTTTAGTGATGCCCATGTTGAGGGTTAGGCCCAAAAAAAATGTAAATTTGAAAATCGTAATGAGTTTCCATGCGAATGGTCTGGCAAGGTTTGAATTTGGGTTGGCGGCGATAAATTGTTGTGCATATAAAATGCTTTGATCCACAATCAACGCATACAGATATTCCGTGAAAAACAGCTCCAAAAATGAAGGAGGTATGTGAAAGACCAGGATGTACTAGACCACTGGTACTCGCCAGTTCACCAAAAGGTAAAGCGGCACTAGTACTGGCATTCTGCTGCTTATGAGAGTCATCAAAATTTACCGGCAAGTGCTAACAGAGATCAGGCCTGATTCTGCGAACACTGCGGTTTTGTGTGCAATGTATCAAGTGACAGTGACCTACTGACACTGCACTTGCTGGGGGAGAAGGGGGAGTAAGCGCAGGGGCTAAACGCAGGTGTTGGCAGGTGCCAGGGCTGATCCCGCTAACGCTGCATTTTTGGGGACGCTATACTAATGTGAATGCTGGTATAGTGCTGACCTGATCAAAGATATTGATTTCAGACACTATACTAGCAATGAAGGTTTATTGTACATGAGCGTGCTCCTGGCAATCAAGGGATTAAATGTGATGATTGGTGTACTGACGGGCAATCTGACACTATCTGGGAGGGGTGTGAAAACCATGGGAGCGCAAATCACGTATATATATATATATATATATATATATATATATGTGATTTTGTGTACCCATGCCGCCCTGTAGCAGTATTTCT